TATGTATGTATGTATGTATGTATGTATGTATGTATGTATGTATGTATGTATGTATGTATGTATGTATGTATGTATGTATGTATGTATGTATGTATGTATGTATGTCCTGAAAATGTGTCTACAAACTTCGAGGTGAATTAGGGCATTTCTTCAGAGTTAAAATTGCATAGAAATCTATGCCAGGAAATGTCGTCTTATGCGGTAAGGACATTTCCCTGTAATGGCCTACTCTAAAGAAGAAGAAACAGTTAATAATAGTGAATGACAAAATTTCAGGGACATGGTGTCCTATGCAATTTTGATCCTGATGATGAATTCCAACTCACCTTGAAGGTTATTGTCACAACACATTCGAACTCCTGTTATAGATAACTTTTTCAAACGTGTACATTTGATCCAAAAATAGATTAAACGTGTCGTTAAAAAAACTATTTCTTCGTAAGAGAAACCTATTGCAGTTTCGAAATCATCGGTACAAAACTAACCCAAGATCTGTTAACAAATTCATGTTAAAAACTTTCAATAATTACGAAGTATTTCTCTTAAAGCTGAATTTCTCTTAAAATATAAAGGAATCTCCTAAAGATTTAAAATTTTCAAATTACATTTTGTAAACATTTCATGGTGAAAAATAGATAATATTCTAAAAACAAAATTCAAATGAGAGGTAAACCTACATCTAATTTGTAAATAAATTTAGAAAAGTGAAAATTAGCTTTCTATAGTATTAAGTTATATTAATCATTAAACTATTTTAAATGTTTTATTATAATTTGTTTTACTTATGTCATATTTATAACATGAAATTTATTCACAAGAATTCAATACTATAACAAAGTTGAAAAGTATTTTAATCAATGTGTTCTATATTCATTACATCAATTTCTCAGTTTAAAAACTAAGAATTCAGATAAAATTCATTCAGAATATTTTAAGCATTTCAGAAAGAACTGTCCGTGTTTTCTTGTAAAAGCAGAGATACTTGTAGTAGGTTGAGGCTGTCGTTCAAAAATTACCGTAAATGGCAAAAAAAATTCCGCCATCGCTTCCTCGATTGGTAAACAAAACTGAACCAAATGTTTTGCATGCCCTGTGTATATAAACATGAAAATGAAGCTTATACAACACTGTTTTGTTTTTAAATAGTTTCAATCTGAAGAGCGAAAATAAAACTTAATTATTGTCTTAAGCTTAACGGCAATTTTTTGCAAAAGAGAAATATAATTGAATCAACACATACACTATGACGAGACTCTTAAACTAAGGTGATTATTTTCGTTATTTAAAATTGCTTATATGACAGGATACGCAGATAAAAATCAATTAAGAAGCATTGGGGTTGAATGCCAGAAAATTAAAGATCTCTTAGCCGTTGAACTGTTCCGGAGTACACCGTGAGGAGGTGGATCTATATCGTACCCAAATAAGTGGAAGGATCTCAAATCAAATAGCATTCCCAACTGGTCGGGCCATTAGGCTGTGGCTCAGTTCCAGTTCGTTGTAAAACATGATTGTCTTGCCACGAACTTATACAGATTCAAGCTAGCTTCTGATCCATATTGATCTATATGCCTAGGCCAATTCGTAATGGATGACTGCTACGTTCTCCTTTACAGTACTCTCCGTAGGGCAACAATCGCCGACCGATACTGGGAAGCAAGGTGTCCAGTGTGGAAATGACTGTTTTTAATGTTTATATTTTTGTTCTCTTGAGTTTTGTTATTTTTATCCTGTGTCCGTCCCCTCGGCCTTTAGAAATACAAAAAATTGCATTTCTCACGTAAAAAATATTTGTAAAAAATATTTAAATGATTTTATTCAAAAATCTAAATTTCTAAATTGTAAATAAGTAACGTAATTTAATCGTTACAATTTTACTTATATTCGGGTTAATTTTATTTGCATTGTTTCCTATTTAAAATATAGCAGAAAATGCTTAAATCCTAAGACCAAATCTTAAAAATTTCCGAATCACAAAATATAAAGTAATCTTATTTCTTTCTTTTTTCTAGAGTAGAGAAATATTTTAAGAAACACGCAGGTTGCAAGTTCTTATCGAACACAATTCACAAAATATCTCGGGAATCCATACCTCCCAAATGCTTTTTCCCCTGAGGGTTCCTGATGTATTTTACGATGCAAATCAAAAATATTCACGAAATGTGAAGATTGTTTGGTCTTGGAGTGATGAAATATTCTTTCTAATGCAAGATTTATTCGGAGTATCAACATTTTTAAGTTAAAATGTTGCTAAAACAAATATTTACCTCCGGTGCAACTTAAATACCGAGTTTACTTTTAATTCTGAAAGGCATTTGATTACAAAATATTTCTCTTGAAGCTGAATTCCTTTTAAAATATAAAGTAATTTTCTAAAGATTTAAAAGTTTGAAAATCTTTCGCAAACATTTCATAGTAAAAATAGATAATATTCTGAAAACAAAATTTAAATGAGACGGGAGCCTATATCTAATTTATAAATAAGTTTGGAAAAGTGAAAATTAACTTAAATTTCTATATTAAGTTACATTAAATTGAAAAAACATTAAGCTATTTTAAGTATTTTCATTATAAATTGTTTTACTTATGTCATATTTATTATAAAAAAAATATTTTCATGAATTCAGTACTTAATAAAATTACTTACCTGGATCTGCCCAAGTAAAAAAAACGGCATATTGTTCATTAAATGCTTTATATGATTAGTATAAAGTTCAGGTAAATAAATACTTGTCGTTTTACTGTTTATTAATCAATTTTGGCTAAGGCAATAAGGTACTAATTGTCAGAAATCAATTTTTACTCATGATTCAATTCATATGAACTTTTACTCTTGCTCTAAACTCTAAGTATAGCTTTAGACCTTTTTCTTTCACAAGACTTATTCATAAGGATTAAGATTTATCACAATTATTTTAGAAATAGTTCTTAGTGGCACGAATTTTTTGAAGATTTTTTGTCGGACTGAAATTAGTCTCTGTAATAAAATTCACTTTAATTTAGCCTCTGGCATTAAGTATAATTATTTTTTTTTTGTGATTTTTTGTCTTTACTCATGCTTGTACAATAGTTTTATAAGAAGAAAAATGAGAAAATCAAATTTCCTAGCGAAATATAAATGACATTAAATTTTATTTAAACCATGTTATTCGTGATTATTATTTTCCTGATGACTTTGATTTGAATACAGAACTTTTTATTTTATTAATTCTCGTTTATTTTACATAATTTAAATTTATAGAAGCCAGTTTAAATACAAGTTATTGACAGAACTAACACAA